GAATTTGGGCTTAAAAGTATATGCTTGGCATGAATTCAAGGCTAGAGTGGGAACTGAAAACAGTTTCTTTAATTGTAAACCTAAGTGAATAATCTCCTGGGGGGGGGAAAAAAAAACCTCCTTTTGCTTTTCCTACCTCCTGCCCCTCCCCCACCAACACTGCTTCCCTGCTGTGCAAAGAGCCCTTTGTCCTGCCCCGCACTTATCTAGCTGTTTGGCCATATTGACAGGCCTACTGGAAGCATAATAAGGGAGTCAGTCTGACATAAGCAGCTGGCGATTTGAAACAAAAATCTTCCTTTTCTACTCACACCAAATCCTGCTGCAGAGGTCTGTGGCTCCTCCCATGCTTCCACCTATTTCTCAAACACAGCAGCAAGGAACTGGCATTTCCCTTTGATCAAGCAGTATAAATCAAAAACTTGATTCCCTAGCCAGAAATTTCTACAGCCTGTGATTTGTTTTATATTGTAATTCAGAACATTAAGGCTTTTTTTGAAAAGGTTTCCTCACCTCTGAGTGTACACATATATGACTATCACTTCAATTCGCTATGAAAACTCTGGGAAGTCTCATACTACAAGACAGAACAGACAGGTTCCAAGCAAAACTGACCAATAATCTTAGGGTTTTAAAAATAACAAGGATTCGAAAAAGCCAAAAATTCATTTTTCTGACTTCATATCAAAGATACTTTAAGGGAATTTACATTAAATTAAGGCATTTCCTTAGTTACTCTGCCCCCCCCCCCAAAATCAATATAAAGGAAAGAATGGGGCAGGATGGGGTCTGAGACCCCTTACTCAGAAGGAACACACACACACACTCACACAGAGGCTGGACTGAGCATCACTGTCCCTTTAGTTACCTCACAGCTCCCTTCCTCAAATGCTGAATAAGAACATTCCCAAGTGATGCTTGCTAACAGAATCACCCGTCAGGGTTACTGGCATCTCTACCCCATTTATAATTAAATACAGAATAGGACAATTTCCCTAAAATTACATGATTTAACAAAGTATGTATAGATTAGTGAAAGAAAGGCTACTCTCTCTATCTACCTTTTGCAACCTTCCCTGAATTCTAGTCATTAGAGAATATACACAATACCAAGTGAAGGTCATGTTATTTAGTAGACATGTTAGAATCTCGAGTCCAGAGTACTATCAATCTATAATGTAGGTGCATTACTTTTCTAAGAAGTCAAATTATAAATGACCACCTGTATTATACACACATTTTCCAAGGCACTTTGCAGTTTAAGTTCACCACTAACTAGCTAGGCCTCTCAATTTTAAAATAAACTGACGAGTCACTAGAGTTTAGCTAAAAGTTACTAGTAAAAATCTTATTTACTTATGATCTAATTTCCCTTTGATATACTCAACAATTACTGATTGCTAGGGCCTAATGTTTCAGTTATTTCAATATGAAGATGATTTTATTTCCCCATCCAAAGGCAAAGCTGACATATCCACCTTTGTCACAAGGTCAGAATAATTTTTGGAAAGTATGCAGGCTCTTAGATACTCAACAGTATCAAAAGATGTAAGCATTTTTAAGTGCCAGTCCAAGCAATCCTTCTAAGAAAAAAAGCCTCTTGATCCTCCAGAGGGAATATAGTGAGACTACAACCAGTTCCAAAAAACAGGAAATAAAAGTAGTAGTCATTATTTTCTAAGAAAACTCGTATATTATAATTAAGCTAAAAACACTTGCATCTTAACTGTAAATATCTTAAGCTATAAGTATAGTAATGGCCAATATGAGTGAAATAATACCTATGGGTTATAGCATCTTACCAATGTATTAAAACCACCTGAAACAACCATTAAGAGTTTTGTTTTATAGACCTGCTTTTAGCACTGGAAAAATATGAACCACATCTGTGAATGACAAAATGCTCACCATTGTTTCTTGGTTCTTTGACACAAATACTAGAGCCATACTACAAATTATAGATGTTTGTGGGATTTAAATACTTGATACAAAATTGGACAAACAGAATCTTGAAGAAGAGGTATTGGTTACAGTAATAATCTTAGGGAGAAAAAACCCACAATTTTATTCGTTGCACATGCCTAGGTGATGGCTCAGTTTCAAATATTCTGTCAGACAAACTACTGGGCTTAATCAGAGATCATCCTGGTTCTGTTCAGTTGGGGGCTGATATCAAAACTTAGAAGAGACTCTTACTCCCTTCTTACTATCCTAAACAAAACTTACTCAATTTCTGAATATTCCTTCTGATTTTTCCTGTGTTTCTGATGGATTACTGTCAAGACACATCATCTTTGTTCAGTGGAAAGACTATAATCCAACACATACACAATTAATCCAATTTATAGGTCAAACATCAGTGAAGGTATCTAATCTGTAGAGGTCTACAGATAAATATAGAAAATAAGAACAAAAAAATTAAATATTAATCCAAAAGTAGCTCTTTTTAGTTTAGGCTTCCAATTATAGTTAAGATGTTTAGCAGAACATCTTAACACGAAGGTAAATATGGTCTAATATGGAGAGACACATACAAATCAGAAGTGACTTAGGCAATTAACAGATAGAGGAAAACATATCAGTTGCACTGAAAAAATAAAACATAAAGATCCTCCTCACCCTGTTCTGGTACTCAGGGAAATCTTTACATTGTTACTTTAGTCTTCAAAAGGATTAAAAAAGATAAAAACACTAATGAACTTCTTAGTAGTATAAATCCTCAGGTAATATCAAAAAACCTGCCGAACCTTCTCCAAACAAAAAACCAAACTCTTTAACTTTGATTCAGTTTTCAGATGGTGACATCCATAAATGGATACAGTTATGAATTGTTAATCCTGGTCTCTTCACTAACAAAAAGCAAACCAGCTCAGCAGTACAATTTCCCAGGAAAGCAAGCAAGGTTTCTTTCCAGTCCTGAGCAGCCATCGCCTAAGTGCAGTTCCCTGCAGCCAACAGCATTAATGGACGCTGCACTGCTGTCCTTCCCTGGAGACAGCAGCCAGCACTACTCAAGCTTCTCACGTAGCAACCAGAGCTCCAGAGCCAGCAGCTGCTGCCGCCTTGTATACTCACTCCTGTGATCCAACACAGGAGCAACCTTCTCTTTACCCCACCCCCACTTCTTAGTACACACTTTTTTTTTTTTTTTTTTTTGACCAGTGCTCCATGCTGGAAGGGCTGGAAGAATGCTTTTAGAAAGAAATAATCCTAAGGTCAGTTTTAAATTGAGATCTCTGATTAGAAAAATCAACATGTACCAAATTCCAAATATTCGTTTTTAATTAAACCAGCATTTTAGGAGTAAGTATTAAGCTTTGGTTTTTAGAAGGCCAATTTTCCAAACATTCAGCAATCATATTTAAATTTACAGCTAGGAACAAGAGCCTTGGGTCGTGTCCTACCAAAGGACATAATTCAATATTCTACACATGACAATCGCAATAGCCTTAAAGGCTTTAGTCCCATAACTGGCCACAAATTTTGGCCAGAGAACTAATGATCCTCCTGAGAAAACTGGAACAAATCCAAAGGAAAAAAAATTCCTGTGTCCTCCAAGCTCAGAAATCTCTCATTATGTCAGTATTCTCTGCTTCAATCCTAGGTCAGACTGTACAGATCTAAAACTACCCCTTATAGCTTTCCTCCTAGCGACCTAAAACCATTATTAATATAAAATTAACCATCAAAAGCACTTTCCCTTCAATACCTCCTCCTCCTCCTGAAAAAGCTCGTAACAATCATCAGGATCTTCTCCAATCAAAAGTATAACTATTTAACATATGCCCAAGGAAGTAATGTAAACATGACCTTGGTCAGAAATATGTCATCGAAAAACAGTTTATTTAGTCAAAGTATGGAGGAAATTAGAGAACCTAAATTCTTTAAGTATTCTAAGCCAGGAAAAATTGGAAAAAGGAACCCAGGTATAGACAAAACCCAGTAGAGTTCACAGCTCTGGGCAAGATATGAGTTGCTGTGAACACATTACACAAGTAACATGAGAAAGCAGAAAATGCAGGTCATACACGCACCCCTGACCCAGACCAGTAGAGCGGGCTGCAGCATCAGTATACAGGAGAAAGATCCTGTATTCCCAGGAATGAAAAAGGCAAAGGCGTTCTATAGAATAAATTAGCATAGAAGGGGCTTTCCCAGCAGTTAAAACTTTCCCTCAGCGCGATTTACCTACTAAAAACAGGGCTTTTGCCCATCACCGTTCACCTCACATCTTAGCTTGCACGCACAAGGGAAGAGAATTCATAAGGGGCACATTTTCCCCCGTCTTTAAAGTCGTTCTTAAAAGATCGCTCTCCACGCCCTAGGCACGGAAACCGACAAAATCTGGCTCAGTTCCAGGCTGGAACCCTACAAATTCAACAGGGATATCGCAGGGATACTGGGGCATACGCCACAGGGAGTCCAAGAATGTGAGGTGGGGGTGGTGAAGGTAATGTCTTTGGTATGGGGAAAGCAGCAGCCATCTGAGATACGGACTCGAGAAGCAGTGGGGGAGGCATTCAGGAAGATTATGGAGGGGGGGACTGGGCCCCCAAACGATCAGAGTTGTCATAAGGCCGCAAGAACAGGGGGTGGAGGTGGGGGCTCAGGGACAGAAAAAAAAAGTATGCCTGTGTATTTTGAGAGAAGGGTTGCGAGGCCTCTCCTGAAAAGGGTATAAACGTGGAGGAGGCAGTGCCCAGAAAAAAAAAAAGGGGGAGACCAGAGTAGGGGGAGGGGAAGAGTCCTGACCCAGGGAAGACATTAAAAGGGTAGTGGGGTCGACTGGATTAAGAGGAGCCTTTCTCCCTGAGCAAGAGGGGTGCAACGGTGTGTAAGGGTAGCCGAGAAGATGGGAAGGAAGGAATTCTCCTGCTCCAGCCTTGGGAGGCCCAGGCCCCACGACCCCGACGAGAAGGAACGCGGGCAGACTGAGGTGACCCTTCTTCCCCCGGGGACCGGTCGTGTGGTTCGGTGTCTCTTTTCTGTTGGACCCTTACCTTGACCCAGGCGCTGCCGGGGCCTGGGCCCGGGCTGCGGCGCACGGCACTCCCGGGAGGCAGCGAGACTCGAGTTAGGCCCAACGCGGCGCCACGGCGTTTCCTGGCCGGGAATGGCCCGTACCCGTGAGGTGGGGGTGGGGGGCAGAAAGGCGGAGCGAGCCCAAGGCGGGGAGGGGGAGGGCCAGGGGCGGAGGGGGGCCGGCACTACTGTGTTGGCGGACTGGCGGGACTAGGGCTGCGTGAGTCTCTGAGCGCAGGCGGGCGGCGGCCGCCCCTCCCCCGGCGGCGGCAGCGGCGGCGGCAGCGGCAGCTCACTCAGCCCGCTGCCCGAGCGGAAACGCCACTGACCGCACGGGGATTCCCAGTGCCGGCGCCAGGGGCACGCGGGACACGCCCCCTCCCGCCGCGCCATTGGCCTCTCCGCCCACCGCCCCACACTTATTGGCCAGCTCGCCGCCAATCAGCGGAAGCTGCCGGGGGCTGCCTAAAGAAGAGGCTGTGCTCTGGGGCTCCGGCTCCTCAGAGAGCCTCGGCTAGGTAGGGGATCGGGACTCTGGCGGGAGGGTGGCTCGGCGCGTTCGCGGGGACGGGCGGTGGCGGTGAGCCCTCGAGGATGGTGGAACCGCTTTGGGGAACAGCTGGGTACGAGTCGTACGCGGGAAGGGGCAAGCGGGTGGTGGTCAGGACTACGGTCCGCCCTGCAGCAACCGGAGGGGGAGGGAGGAGGGAGCGGAAAAATCTCCACCGGACGCGGCCATGGCTCCCACGGGGGGCGGTGGAGCGCTTCCGGTTCACGTCTCGTCGCTGATTGGCCTTTTCTCCTCCCGCCGTGTGTAAAAACACAAATGGCGTGTTTTGGTTGGAGTGAAGCGCCTGTCAGTTAGCGGGTGCTGGAGTGCGCAGCCGCCGGCTGCCTCGCTGTGCCCACTGGGTGGGGCGGGAGGTAGGTGGGGTGAGAGCTGGACGTGCGGGCGCGGCCGGCCTCTGGCGGGGCGGGGGAGGGGAGGGAGGGTCAGCGAAAGTGGCTGGCGTCCAGGCGGCCTCCCACCCTCCCCTTCCTCTGGGGGAGTCGGTTTACCCGCCGCCGGCCTGGCCTCGTCGTCTGATTGGCTCCCGGGGCCCAGAAAACTGGCCCTTGCAATTGGCCCGCGTTCATGCAAGTTCAGTCCATACGCGGACTGGCGGGGGCGGCAGGGAGGCGCTCGCAGGTTCCGGCCCTCCCCAAGGCCCCGCGCCGCAGAGTCTGGCCCCGCGCCCCTGCGCAACGTGGCAGGAAGCGCGCGCTGGGGGCGGGGACGGGCAGGCGGTCTGAGCGGCGGGGCGGGGGCGAGCGCGGTTCCTCCTAGAGTTGTTGCCGCACGAGGGGCGAGATGAACCGGACCTGCATAGCGCACTCCTAGGAGTGGAGGAAGGAGTGGGGGCTCAGTCGGGCCGGTTTGGAGGCAGGAGGCACTTGCTCTCCAAAATTCCGTGAGAGCTGCAATCAATAAGGGAGCCGCAGTGGAGTAGGCGGGGAGAAGGCCGCACCCTTCTCGGCAGGGGGAGGGGAGTGCCGCAATACCTTTCTGGGAGTTCTCTGCTGCCTCCTGGCTTCTAAAGACCGCCCCGGGCCTGGAAGAGTCCCTTCCCCCACTCCCCTCGTGATCTGCAAGTCGAGGCTTTCTGGAAGATAGGCGGGAGTCTTCTAGGCAGGCTTAAGGGCTAACCTGGTGCGTGGGCGTTGTCCTGCAGGGGAATTGAACAAGTATAAAATTGGAGGGACGAGACTTCCCACAGATTTTCGTTTGTGTCCGGAGGGAATTGTAATAGGAGCAAAGGAGAGAAATGGGTGACTAGGCGCTCACTTGGGGTTTTATTTAGCAAAACCACAGGTTATTATTGCTTATGATCTGCCTTGAAGTATTTTTCATCGTGTTAGATTAAAGACATGCTCACCCAAGCTTATACTCCCACTTGAGATCCTTGCTATATCATGAAATTATGGTATCATAAATTGGAATATATAAACAGAATCTTAGCATTTTCTGCAGAGCCCAGTTCTTCACTCTGTCCCTCTTGCTCCCTCTGCAGCCCTTCCAAGAGATATTTTAGCGCTCTCTCATTTTAGTCCCGTTTTCATTTGTTGTACTGGTTTATCCAATCCCTAGACAGAGCACTGGCATTCTTCCTCTCCTGATCTTAGAAGCCTGATGAGTCATGAAACCAGACAGATTAGTTACACCACAAATTGAGGCTGTAGCTAGGGCCTTGCCCTGCAGTTCTTTTATTCCTCCTTAGTACATTTTTTTGACTGTTTGCCTTGATTTCATTTTCTATCCCCACGCCTTCAGGAGCTTTACTACAATAGATTTATTGAGAATCTAACCTAAAGTTCAGCTTCTTTCCACTCCCATGAATGCCTATCTCCTTTTTCACCATTAATAAGCTGAATTGTTATTAATGGCTTCCAGATGGATGTCTCTTCCAATATCACCTGATGTATCTTACATATCGCCAGGCCGATTGTATTAAAAGGTACATGAATTGGCCTGAAATTTACTGACTCCTTAATGCTTTAGTGGATTCCATGAGTACAATACAGAAGACCGTTAATGGGCTACTGACAGCTTTTTCATTTCATTATTTCCTGCATATACACTTTGAGTCACATGGAATTGATTACTGCTTACTCACATTTGGTCACTGTACACATCTGTAGATGGTGGTTCCTTCTGGAATTCAGACTTACGGTTCAGGTGTTGGCTCTCCTGGTCTAAGGTCCTGTGAACCTGTGTTTTCCTATTTAAGCAGTGCTTTCTCTTGGCCTCTGGCTTGATTCATGTCACTCCTCATGTTGTTATTGCTGGTTTAAATGTAGTTTTGCTGAGCTGCTTCGGTGCTGTCTTACTGAATTCTTTTACGTTCCTACTATATTTCTTGACTTGTAGCTAGACGTAAGTAAAATGTAGTAAGCAACATAAATGTATTTGTGAAGCTTGGTCTTGAGGTTAAGTGTTGTGTGTGTGCTCAATAAGAATACTATCCAGGAGAACTTAACTGCAGTGACGTGGACACTGTATATGTATTGTCCCAATATGGTAGCCAATAATCAAATCACTCTTTAAGCACTGGAAATGTTAACAAGGAACTAATTTTCATTTGAAATGTAACTGGACAGGGGAACCATAGCTGCAAACTTGTGGGTTATAGAAGACTAATGGGGACTTTAACAATGTTCTATTTACACTAAGCAATAAAGAAATAAAAATTGAACCTCTGGTACCAATTGCTTAAAGTGCTTTTTTTTCTGCTTCATCTATACTAAGCTGAAAGCTAAACCTACAAACCATTACTAAACATGAAAGCAAGTACTGATTAATTTGGATTTCAAAACCTTAGGGCTAGAGTTTAGCTGGGCACTGGTGTGCTCACCTTTGGTCCCAGCACTCAGGAGACAGAGCCAGGTAGGTCTCTTAAGTTCGAGGACAGCCAGGGCTGTCGAAAAACAAAACAAAATTTAAGAAGCTGAGATTTCATTAAATCATAATTGAGGCATTCCCTAGGAGCCACCATGGGATTTGGCTGCTAGTCAATTTAATTGCTTTTTCTTTTTCTTTTCTTTTTTCCCCTTCACTTTGGGCTTCCTTACTCTTTGAAACGTCCTTCCCACCATGTGGTTTCTTGTCTGCCACATGTCTGAGTTCCCATGCTGGTTTAAATGGCGTGGCTTTTTGCCTCAGGGCAGCTGCTGAGATTTGCAGCCTGGTTTTTGGGGTGGGCTTGGAAATTCTTTTAAACTCTAAATTTGACCTTTCTTTTAAAAAAAAGTTTCATGAGGAGTGAGATGGGACTGATAATTAATGAGCCCCTGCCACCTAAAAGAACTAAGGCTTTGTCTTAAAGTGTGGTATGTCTAGGACAGGGATCTTAGGGCTTTAGTATGCAGAGACTGTTGCCTTGCTGTTTAAGTTGGATTTTCTAGTCTCCCACCCAAAGAATTTAAATTCTGGGCAGCCAAGGCCAGATTAAACTTCTGTCCTTTCATGTTCACCTGCTTACTGTAAATATAAAAATGATAACCGCAAAGACTTTTTCCTGAGACAGGGTCTCACTCAGTATGTGTCTCTGGCTGGCCTGTAACTCAATATGTATAGACCAGACTAGCCTTAACTTAGAGTTCTGCCTGCTTCTTCTTCCTGAGTGGTGGGGTTAAAAGTGACCAGTGCATCCCTATCCTGAGCTGTTTTTTTCTCCCCTCTTAAAAAAAGAACCAGACAATAACAAATCCCGAGTGAAAGGGAAAAGCAAAATGCAGGTCAGATCCTTTTAAAGGAACATATTAAGGGGGCTTGGGTGATAATTAGTAAAGTTTGTTGCAAGCAATGAAAACTTGAATTAAATCTCCACAACCCACATAAGAAAGCCAGGCAAGTTAGAGCACGTCTGAGATATCCCTAGGACTTACTGGCCACATAAGCCTAAGTACTTGGCAGGCTCCACGCCAGTGAGAACATCTCAAAAAACAAGGCAGATAGCAACTAAGAAACTACAGGTGGTCTGGAGAGGTGGTTCAGTGGTTAAGAGCACTGGCTACTCTTCCAGAGGAAACAGGTTCAATTCCCAGCACCCACATGGCAGCTTACTACTGTCTGTAACTCCAGTGCCAGGGGATCTGACACCCTCAAACAGAATATATACAGGAAAAACACCAGTGTACATGAAATAACTATAGTCAGAGTTGTCTTTCACACCCACCTACATACAAGGATACTAAAATATTCCAAATATTTCCTTCAACTTTGATCTACTACGTTTCTCCCATCAAATTGCATTCCTCGACACAGGGATTTCTTCAGTGAGTAAGCAGAGTTGGGAACCAAACAAATGTTGGTTTTATGATTTGTGAAATCAAAGTTTTCAATTCATAGTTAAAGCCCATGAAATAAAGGACAAAGCTCCTATTGTGCAGGAATCTAATACTTAACTGAAGTGTCTTAATGCTCTTTTCATGGAGGAAACTGAGGCCTCCCTGTCTTATACTCAGAAGCACTTCCTTGGGTTTCCCCGAACCATTGCAGCTATCCCATTCTTGTACTAGGCATGCCTTGGGCTGGTGGTAAATAAACTTAATTTCCTGTGCCATGATTTCATATACTTACCACAAAAACTTGCTATATATGTTAAACATTTGTGCTTGATGTGAACGTTAGATGAGGGTTTGTGATTTTTACTTTAAAATTTTTGAACTAGATAAGGCCTTATGTTTGGTGTAACTATAATTATGGTTTACAACCCTTGGTCTAAAATGTGACAGTTGGGCATTCCAAGAACGAGACTAGTTTGTGGAGAACCCTAGCTGTACAGCATTTTGCTGGGTCACAACTTCGGGAGTCAAGCATTTAACCTTGAAGGTTGATACCTTAGTTTATATATTGGAGGGCATACTTACCCAGAAGATATTCATGACTCTTCTTGACTGGTTTAGTTAGCACTGAGTGACCTTTAGGCTTGAACTGGAGTTGTGTTTTTATGATGTCCTAGACTCGTTTTTCAAACTTAGTAATCACTGGTCTTTTTTGTCCTGGTATTTTTTCACCCTTGTTTTCTAGGTGTTTGAAGAAATATTTTAAGTTTGGATCTTCCTTTTGGCAACATTAACATGTTTTCAGGTCCTATTTGTAAAATTGAGTATTTTGTTACTCAACCCAATCCTACTTCTATTGGGTGGTAGATTTTGAATTCACTCAGTAGACTTGGTCTTTTTTGGCCCTTCACTAAAATTCCATATGAAGTACTATTCACCATAACAGTGGCTTTGGTACCAGTCTGTGTACAGTAGAGATGACTAAAACTCAGATTTACTAACTTCCCATGGGCATACGAGTAGATTGGGGCTAGGGATAGAAACTGGCCTAGCCTTTGATATTCCTACCAGCTTTGTTTGTACTACCTTGCTCTGATTCAAATATTGTTTTAGGAAATCTAGAACTAGATATAAGGTAGTGATAGAGCAACTACCAAAATGCTAGGTTTTTCTCTGAGAGAGGAATTCAAAAATTTGACCAAGTCTTAAGTCACTAAGAGTGCTTTCAGAACATCTCAAGGAACCTTTCCTTAATGCCCTCACCCCTACACCACATCTGATCCAGTTGAATGTTGTCATGGCTCTTAAAATCTAATTAAGAATAGTAATTGTGTAATTATTGTTTTTCCTCCTTTAGATTGTTCCTTAAGGAGAGGACAGTGCTTGTTTAAGGCTGTATCCCTGCTGTCTGAGCAGAACCAGGTCTTCGAGATCAACACACTTTTTGTAATACCAAGCTGTTGCCTTTTACATTCTCAGAAGCAAACAGAGACACAGGATTCTCACTGACGATACTGTCACTATGTTAAATGCTGCTGTGCAGTTTGGATTTTTCTAAGGTAGTTTAGGTATGGAGTATGTATTTTTTATTAACTTTCTAGGTTATGCCTTCCATAATCTATACAGTTGTTATTTTTAAATCTTGTAGCTTTGTATATAAGGATAAAGGTGTTTTATTGTCATAATGTTCTGAACATTTCCCCAAAGTTCCAAATTATAAAACTGCAACTTTAGAACTTAATTAGAAAGATGGTTGTGGTTTTATAAGAAGATACTTAATTGTTCCACTAATCTTACTTGTGTTTTAAGATATTATATAAAACTGACAAATATGGAAGAGTTGGTCAAGAAACTTTTAGGGAGTGAAATATATACTGGCTTTAAAGATCTTTTAACTTGGCATGTCCTTTGCAACACCCTAACTTTGAATAGTGCTGGCACCAGCTATGTTGTGGAGTCATTCCAAGGAGTGTTGGATTGTTTTGAACGCTACTGAATAATTTAAATTCAGACTTCTGGTGTTCCATAAAACAAAACTGTCATAAGTTTCAAACCACAAATTAAAAAACTGAATATTTCAGAAGAAAATTATTTGCTGTATTAGCTGGAGAAATGTATAATGCCTAAGAATTTAGAAACTATACAGTTGACATTGCTGAGTATCTGTCAGATGAAAAGAAATGCTCAGTGGTTCTTTTGAGCAGTATAGTAACTTGTTAAAGATTTTTCCCACAGATATAAACTCTACTAAAATATATGTAACACTTTTCAAATTGATGAAGCTATTTTATGTGCATTGGTGTTTTGCCTGTGCGAATGTCTGTGTGAGGGTCCCCTGGAACTGGAGTTACAGACAGTTGTGAGCTGCCATGTGGGTACTGGGGATTGAACCCGGGTCCTCTGGAAGAGCAGTCACTGCTCTTAATGGCTAGGACATCTCTCCAGCCGCAACAACTCAGGCCTCTTCTATTATTTTATTTTATTTGAGACCGTGTTTCTCAATGTGTAGAACTTACTTACTGTCTGGAAATTCTTTCTGTGTGCAAGGCCAAATTTGAACTCAGATATCCAGCTCAGCTGCCTCTGCTTCCCTAGTGCTGGGATTAAAGGCATGCACCACCACACCGGGCTTCCTTCTATTTCTGTAACTCCAGGAACATTTTTTTCCTCTGTGTCTGTTTTTAATTTCTTATTTATTCTGTTACTTTATTGTACATTCAGTTTAATTTCAAATTGTGTGTGTGTGTGTGTGTGTGTGTACTTGTTACTGTTCTTCTATTTATTTATGTGAAAGCTTGGCAATAAATCTATGTCCTAAAATAGTCAAAAGTGTGCAATGACTTTTTAATCTCATGGCTTATCTGGAACAACTATGTTGATATTTGTCCTAATGATGAAAAACAAAGTGGGTAGAGCTGCAGTGCTTTGGCACAGTGTTCATTGCTACTCATTTGTGTTGTAAACCAGGGGGGGCGGCAAACTTTGAGGTAAAAACCAGAATTGGGTAAACTTGTACACTGTTAAGAGCATGAGAACTTGACTCTAATTATTGATGGTCATAACAAAATGAACCTGGACGAACTACTGGAAGGTGTATAACTCCATGATAGAGTGCTTTCTGCCTAATACCTATCCCCTGTCAATTGAATGCCGAACACAAAAACCATCTGGGCCTCTTAACCCCGAAATTCAAAGTTGCAAACTCCTAGGTTAGTCTTCTCACTGAGCTATATTCCCAGCCCAGTCTTGAAAACAGAGCTGACCCACCCCACCCCCACCCCACATAAATTCTAACATAAATGTAATTGGTGCTACAATGTTTCAAATTTTTAAGAATGGTAAGAATTAGGTTTTAAATTTTGAAAAATGATGTACATGGTAAATAGTTTGACTCCTAAAAAGCCTAGAAGACTATACTAGGCACACTGGACAGTCAGGTTTTAGTGTAGAAAAGTGTACTGCTTTAAGTGGGTCACAGAAGAAAAGTAAGAACTTGAGTTGAAACTGAACCAGCATCTTAAATGGCTACATCTTTTTTTCCCTTTAGTTTTTTGAGACGGGGTTTCTCTGTGTAGCTTTGGAGCCTGTCCTGGAACTCGCTCTGTAGCCCAGGCTGGCCTCGAACTCACAGAGATCCACCTGCCTCTGCCTCCCAGTGCTGGAATTAAAGGCGACCACCGCCTGGCTAAATGGCTCCATCTTAACAATTGATTAGCAAGAACTTTACCTTGGGGGTGGGGGAAGAATAACAATGGAGCCCAGATGTTGTAGGGGAGGACTTCAGTTCAGATCCCATCACCCATACTAGGCAGATCAAACTGCCTATTAACTCCAGCTTCTAGCCTCCACATATAGGCACCTGCATATACCTGCACAAAAATACAACTTAAAAGTAAGACTATCATCTGGCATGGTATTGCATACCTTTAATCCCAGCACCTGGGAGGCAGAGGCCAGCCAGGGCTATGTAACAAAACCTCATCTAGAGGGGGAAAAAACTCATAGCTTATTTCTTATTCTAGTAACCATATTAACAATTTACCAACCGGAGATGAAGATGACATAGTACCCACTGTATTTGCAGTGTCTGATCAGATTTTTTGTATACTTATAGAATTAGATCTGTGATGAATCAAGCATAAACCTGGTATATTAGCTTGAGAACTTAGCATTGAAAGTACTAGTTTATTTGTTCATTGAATATTAAATGCTCACTGGCAAATACCGTGTCAGGAACTTGGTAAATGGTGATGAAAACAGAACTATCCTTGCACATCCTGGCTCTGACCAGCTTGCTTTGAGATTTAAACGGTTTCTTTTGTCAAAGGTGGAAACTTGTAAATTTGTTCAATCAATAATTTATTTTGACAATTGCAAAAATGCCCATCTAGGATATAAAACCTTTACAAATTTATTAATCCCAGTTCATTCTCTACTAAGTAATTCCAAGCCAACTGGCTACTGACTATGCTGTCAATGTGGGTTCTGTTTTCAAAGAAAGGAAGTACTGTGTCCTTTGTTCTAAATAGAAACACCATAATGAAAATCTAAACTGAATGAAGCCAGACTCTCCAAAATAACTTCCCATCAAAGCTTAAGCAGGGCTTGCTTTAGGACACACTATTGCGGGACTGATGAGTACTGAGGTAATTTCATTTCCCATAGCACTATCTGAGTAAGGATTAGGTACAACTGTAGAACTGAATGATGAACTAGGCCTCCCAGGTCAGGGTTTCATTTAAAGATACATTAGCTCCCCCACAAACATTGACAGGATTTATTTATTTGTTTATTGGGTTTTGAAAAGTAAGACATGTATACTAAAAGAAAAATTGCTTTAATTTGGCTTGTTGATCCCATACGTCATCTACCAACACTTGGACTACTTAGTAATGTCTTATTACTAATAGTCACACAAAGCACCTTTGCCCTGTTTTGGTTGTGTATATTTTAAGGCAGATGGTAAACTAGGTCTTGAGGGATGCTTTAGTTTCTGAGGGTGATATAAAGAACTCAGGCTATAGAACATTAGGCTTCACAGGTGATAGAACGTGACCTAAAGTGTTCTCAAACTTAGAAGCCAAGGCTTCTCAGGAAATACCATTACGGTCACCTTGCTAACAAAGCGTTCTGGAGTAAACAGTAAAGACTGCATTGCTAAGTTATTTTTTTGCTATTTTTCTCCCAAAGCTGACATGTCCAGCATTAGGAACTATAAATATACAGTTGTCTTCATTCTTTGCATTACCAAGGAGCATGTCTTCCTCCATCATGTTCTGAAGGATGAACAAAGGCTTGAGGTGTGCGTTTTAGAAGATAAACTGCAGCATGAAGGCCCCCGATGTTCACCCAGACTGTATGGACCTTTCGCCACACATGTCCCATTCCAGATAATGCCTGGTACACACAAAAAGCATAAAATCATTACGCTGCCAAGTCTGCTTTTAAACCAACCTGGAATCTTTGCCACTTAAATGCTATGGGTGGTGGGTTGGAGAGCTGGCTCAGAAGTTAAGAGCACTTGTTGTTTTTGCAGAGGATCTGGGTTCAGTTTCTGGCACCTACATGGCAGCTTACAACTATCTACAGCTCCAATTCTAGGGGGTCCGTCCAATACCCTCTTTTGTCCTTTGAGGGCACTAGGCATAAATGTGGTACACATACAGGCAGGTGAGAGTATGTGTGTGTGTGTGAGCGAGCACGCGTGCGGGCGAAGTAAGGAAGGGTCTCACTGAACCCAGAAGCTCACTGAATGGCTCTGAGGCTCCACCTGTCTGCCTTGCCTGCTGTGCCCCTATCCTATCACTAGGGTCCAAAGCCTTCTTTTAAGAATCCTAAAGTTGCCTTTGGCTGAGATTTTAACTCTCATGTTCGGTACCTTGGTAAAACATTTCTTGTCCTGAGTAAGCAGTACAGCTCTGCCTGTCCCTGGTCTACAGACACGGCTCATTTCCCGAAGGCAAGCTGGATATAGATTCCAGTTTCTCTTCTTGGAGCCCATCCTATAAAAGAAGGTCAAATAAAAAGTGTTGCAAAAGGTAAATAGGTAGTTTCTTACATGAGATAAGAACAAAATCCAAGGTAGGAAGAAGGCATTTTTTAGAGGCCAGAGCTTTGACATTCTATGCCAATAAAGGAAGCTGTTAGTCAAGTCTTCAGAGTTTTCTATCAAAATGGTTTTTTTTTGTTGTATTTTGTTTTTTGAGAAGGTTTTCTTTGTGTAACAGCTCTGGCTGTCCTGGAACTCACTTTATAGACCAGGCTGGCTTCAAACTCACAGAAATCCACCTGCCTCTGCCTTCTGAGTGCTGGGACTGCCCGGAATAATTTTTTATAACTGTAACTTATCTCAATGAAGACAAGAAACAAATTATATGAGCCAAACCACTGAGTAGAGAAATCTGTCTCAAGAAGCAAATGCTCCTCAGCCTATAATGTAGAATAGGATCATGTAATGGCATAAGGGATGAAATGAATTATGGTACACTTTCTGACTAAGAAGATAAACAGTACAATAACAGGTGAAATCAAACTCCATTTCAAAAAGAGAAAAACCCAATTCTACCTTTTTCCAAATGGCATATCTGTTACAATAATATCCACAGAAGCAGTTCTCAGTGGGAGGTTGCAGATATCCCACTGAATAGCATCAATGGGCAAACCCCAGGATGTTTTTCTGTAGAGACAAAGGAAAGATACTCAATATATTTTCCCAGGCTAATGAGATGGCATAGCAGACAAAGGCACTTGCCATTAAGCCTGATGACCTGAGCTTGATTCCTGGGGCCCACCCACATGGTGGAAGGAGAACTGAATTCTTCAGTTTGACCTCTAAGCCCCTACTCTTGTGCCCACACACAAATAAATAAATGTAAAAAGAAAAAACATTCTGCAGTATTAATTTTTAAACATTGTTTTTCTAAGAAGAAATGTTACAGTAATATAGGAAGAAATATAGCCATAACTGAAATACAAGTTTTTTAAATGGTTATAATTGTTTTTCAAAGGATGTATGGTTTCACACACAATTTTAAAAAGCACCAGAGGAAATGAGTTTACATGTAAAAAACAAGTGTAAAAGGCCAGAGAAACGGCCCAGCTGGCAAAGGTGCCTGCCACTAAGCCTGACAAACAGAGTTCGATTCCTGGGACCTGGAGGAAGAAGAGAACCAACTCCCACAAGCTGCCCTGACTTTACACCATAGCACAGCTCCATGGCACTCTCAGGCCCACACATACACAAATAAACAGAAAGACCAATCCAAAAGGCTTCAAAGGCAAAGTGATTAGAGGATCTGAACAGGCCAGGGCCACGAGTCAAGATTACTGGTAATTTAGAAGTTATGAGAATGGCTTTCATGCTTCTTTCAATTTACATTGTTTTACCTTTTATTTGTTTATTTTTTGGTTTTTCGAGACAGGTTTTCTCTGTAGTCCTGGCTATCCTGGAACTCAGTCTGCAGACCAAGCTAGCCTCGAAGTCACAGAGTGACTCCCAAGTGCTGGGATTAAAGGTGTGTGTTAACCACACCCTGACTCAACTCACATTATTTTAGAAAAAAAGCTAAATAAGTAAACTGTAGTAGTTCTATATGATGGAATGCTGGGTAGTCATTAAAAATGAACCATGTAAAAATACTGAAAGTATTCTCAAATTGGTGACATTAAAATGAATCTACCCATGTACTGCAAATGTAAACAGTTGGATTTGGTAGTTCATGTCTATAATCCCAGTCTTGGGAAGCGAAGGCAGGAAGATCACTGTGAGTCTGAGGCCAGCTGCACTATACAGTGAGTTCAAGGTAAGAGCCAGTTATAGGCTATGACCTTTTCTAAATAAATAAACCTATACTATACTATACTGTTTGGGGGAAAGGACAAATAATGAACAAAAAAGGAGAAATAAAATTGCAATAAAATATGGAAATTGTAGTTACATTAATTTTAAGTGATTTTCAATAAGCTAGATGGTATCTTCCAACACTGTTCATTTGGTTCTAAAGGTATCACAAAGCATAGGCAATGAATGACAATTCCAAGTCAGTATGGAGAGTGACTTGCAAAGATGCAATGTGGTCTTTGAAGTTAAACTTACCCATCTTTAATCTGGCTCTTAGTCAACAGAGATGAGATGTTATTTGCTGCTCTGTTCACTGCCAGTGGGTTGTTGTCCCCAGCAATATGGTAACAGTGAGACCACTCAGTAGCCCCCTATGAGACAAGAATGTTGGTTAAATATGCCACAAGAGACAATTAAAGGGACAGTCATTACGGTCAATTTTCAATAACATGGTGACCCGTGCCATTTATTTCTCTAGCAGAAATGACCTCCCTGTTCTTTTTCTGCCTGCTGAATTCTCACCCACTGGAGATGTGGCTCCAGTGTCACCCACTACGACATCAGTGTCAGCCCCAGAAGCACTTTGTACACCTCTGTTGCTGACTTGTCCCATTTTTAACTGTCTATCAATTCTGTCTTTCAAGTAATCTAGCAACTCTTTCCATTTTATTCAATCCCTACCCAGCAAAGGCTGGCACATACAAGAGACTAATTCACTAAATAAACATGATTTTAAAAAATTATCCAAACTGCCAGGTGGTGGGGGTGAATGCCTTTAATCGTAGCACTTGGGAAGCAGAGGCAGGCAATCTCTGTGAGTTCAAGGCCAGTCTTGTCTACAGAGCGAGTTCCAGGAGCCAGGACTGTTATATAGAGAGAAACCTTGTTCCGGAAACCCCCCACCCCCAAAATATTAACCAAACTAACCAGACCTATACTCTTAGATTGTGAAAGTTTAGCTTTTAAAAGATAACCACCATATATCTCTGAAAGGATTTTGTAGTTAAGTAAAATATGTCACCAGAATATATATGCCAAGCAATACATACTTGTGAAATGAGTACACTAAGGTAGTTTCTGCCATGAAGACATGCATGCATGAATGCAGCACTTTATAACTTTGTATTTTGCTCAGATCTCTGAAGGTGATGACATATTCTAGTCTATTATTCTACAATGACTGCAAGCAAAAGGAATGTTCAAGTATGCCAGAAACTGGGTAGGTAGGGATACAGAAGGAACCCACAGGGTAAGTCTCTCAGGTGCTTCTTACCCCCTGGAGATGTGGCTCCATTGGGTAAGAATCTTTGCCAACTATTTTTTTTTTAAACTTTTAATCCAATTTGGATTTCCCACCTCAAGCTGCACTTTACATTACTTCTAAATCTCAGAGTATCCTCTGAGTAGGCCAGGTATATGATACTTTAGTGGCCACATCTGTCCACAGACCTTGGCAACTTTTCACGATTTCCATCATTCCTCAGCTAAAGTTACTACAATGGTGCTCTCGTGCCTATTTTTACATGGAAATGGCTCAGACTGTTTTTCCCCCTCTTTTATTCTGGTGTCTATTTCTGTTGCATGTTTCTGGACACATGGTAACTTTACCTGGTATTTCATAGAAAAGTCATGGTTTAATGCTGGAGAACCACGGCTTTGTTTTCACAATTCTTGACTGTAACTAAGCTCTCTGGTTCAGATCTCAAGCAGAAGTCATTCCCCAGCCATCACTAGTGGAACATGCAGACTATGTGGTTTTCTCTTGGATCTTAACTCCTGATCAAAGTCAGACCATAGATTTTCTAATTACACTCTGGATTATTTTACGCTTTATGGGTTGCTTTGGGCTTGCTCATCTGTCCCATTTCTGCCCACTCAACACAATCTGGGGTACTTCTGTGCAGTTTCTTTTTACTGGCTTTTGGTATAGTCTGGAATATTTCACTGTGTTTCACACAAAACTAAGTGATTTTCCTGTGAGCTCCTGCCTGTCAATCACAGACACATAGGTGATGTGGTTCACTCAGTCTCAACAGTTCTCTACCTTCAAGATCCCATTCCCACTGTGTGTGGGGCTCACACCTGTAACCCCAGCACTCTCTGAGAGAGGCTCAGGCAGGAGGACTGCCATGAATTCAAGGACAGCCTGTGCTACGTACCAAGACCCTGCCTCAAAAAGGTTAAAAAAAATAAAATAAAAAATCTTTTCAGTTCTTGTTTTGCCTTCTGCAGTTTTTGTTTTGTTCTGTTTGTTTGTTTGGTTTTGATTTTTTGAGACAGGGTTTCTCTGTGTAGCCCTGACTGTCCTAGAACGCACGCTGTAGGCCAGGCCTAGCCTCTAACTCAGAGGTCTACCTGCTTGCTTCTCCCTCCCAAGTACTAGGATCAAAGGCGTGGGTGACCACTGCTCAGTGCCTTCTTTAGTTTTTATAAGTGAGGTAGTAATTCTAAAATTATTTAAGGTCACTGGGTATGTAGCTTTGTCAGATTTCCTAAAACATGTAATTTTTTAAAAAAGAAAACAGGTAAAAAGACTTGAGTGTAGTAGTTTGTGCCCTTAATCCTAGAAAAGATGGGCAAACCTCTGAGTTCGAGGCCAGCTAGGGCTATATAGTGAGACCCTGTCTCAAAACAGAGAACAAATATAAGGAATGCTCATAGGTGGTGGGTTGGTTTCTAGTTTTGTTCTGCAGTGCTGGAGATCAAGTCCAGGACCTCTGGCATGCCAAGCAAGTACCCCACCCCAGCACTGAGCTACACCACTGAGGTTTCTCCTCTTCATAACTAAACTTGTTCACTCCAGGAAGCTCTAACTATAGAGATGAAAACCAACTTCTTCCCGTTTATGATACCTTCAGTTATCCTCTGCTAGTCAATCTAGTGGCTGAGTCATCACTTTCAGCTCCTCTGTGAGCCAGAAAACAAGTATTACTGTTTAGTTGTACGGCACTGGGCTGTTTGCAATACATGACAGTATCACTTGCTTATGTAAAAATAAAGAGGCGTGATTACCTCTATTGGTATCGCCCCTGTTCCACACATTGGATCCACTATTACATCAGTAGGTTTAGGTTCACAGAGCCTGGAGGGAGAAAACAATTCAGCACACGTGAGATCAGCCAAAAGCTAAGGCTTCCAAAATAGAGATTCCTAAAGGTTAGGACACAGGCATGAAGGAGCAGCAATCTATAGTCTGAAAGTCAGCCTGGGGCTGGCACTCAGGAGCAGTGCTCACCTATGTGTACAAACTTTGGGTTTCAGACTCAATGCTGAAAAAAGTAAAAGAAAGAATTGTTATCCCAGCACTCAGGAAGCTAAGCTGGGAAGATTCTTTAGTAGACATTTGCTGACAACCAGGCATTCAGTATCCTTTCATTTTGTGTATAATGTAGAGATAATGTCTTTAACATAAAATAACTGCTTTAACTTTATATACTTGTTATTTCACTGAATCCTTGTAACAACCCCATTACTATTTAACAGATAAACTGATGCAAAGAAACATTTTTCCTAGAACCCAAAACGAGGTGACAGTCAGGACCACAGGTCCCGTTTTTCTATCTGCTCTGTGTAGTACCAATCCTCAGGTCACTGTTTTGTCTGTTCTAACCTTTTCATGTTTTGTTTGAGACATTACACCATACATGCTAACAATCTCCCTCATAAGACAGATTCTTAGGCAAGCCTGTAATGTCAGTCACTGCTAATGGGCCAGGACTGGGCATCTGATCAAAACATGTCACTCAAATCCTCTTAGGAATTTGTAATAAAGAGCAACTAGCCCCTGGTTCTGTGAACTAGTCATGTGCAACTGGAGGTACATATATTTAAATGCGGGCAGCCATGTGCACAGGTGAGCTGAGTCCATAAGCTTTCAAGAGACAGAAAAGCAAGCTCCTGTGTTTTCTACTACCTAGTTTCTACACTTCTTAATTTTTAACCTTTATGTATGGATGTTTTGCCTGCATGCATATCTGCATCACAGTTGAGTATTGCCTGCTGAAGCCAAAAGAGGCATCACATCCCCAGACTGGAGTTATAAACAATTGTGAGCCACCATGCTGGTGCTAGGAATTGAACCAAAGAACTCTGGAAGAGCAGCCAGTGCTCCTACAGCGCTATGCCATTTTTTCAGCCCCATAGTCTACCTTTCTTGAGATGGCTTTCCAAGTTTTTTGTGGATTTGTTATAATATTTGCTCTTCTCTCCAACCACCCCATCCTTAGCATAATTATCACTTCATGTATAGATGTGTACATGCGTACACACTTGTGTTTGCCTACATGCAGGTGAAGGCTAGAGGTCAATACTGGGAATCATTTTCTCTCTCTTTTTTGGTTTTGGTTTTTTGAGAGAGGGTCTCTCTACAGAGCCCTAGCTGTCCCGGAACTCACTATGTAGACCAGGCTGGCCTTGAACTCACTGAGATCCACCTGCCTCTGCCTGCCAAGTGCTGAGATTAAAGGTGTGTACTGTAATGCCTGGCTGGGCATCTTCCTCAATTGTTCTTCACCTCAGTTATTGAGAAAGGGTCCCTCACAACCTGGAGCTCACAAATTCAGTTAGACTAGCTGGCCAGGGGTCCTCCTCTCTCTGCCTCCTTGGTGCTGGAATTAGACGCATGTGCTGCTGGTAGGTCAAACTCGGCCCTTACTTTGTGCAGAAACTGTACCGAGTTACTTCCTCAGCCCAATCATCACTTTTTTATTCTATTTAGCTTTTTAATACTTGCACCCAAAATACTTCTTTGTATGCTGGTTTCTATAATCACAGCTGGAGACAAATAACCAATGTCTGTTCAATGAATGAAGTTTAAGAGTGTTTCTTTTAAATTTTTTGTTATCAACTTCACATGCTCCAGTTGTGAGGAACTATGAGTCCACATATGACCAGGATGAAAGAGGAAGCAAGGACTAGAAAGGAAGAAAATATATTCCTATAACTCATTAGGATATGCCAGGCACTGTACAGAAGAAGACAACCTATCTGTAGTTCTGCATTTAGTTTTCATGAACACAACTTTTTAATATTTTTATTTTTTACTAATGTGTATGTATTTGTGTGTGTCTCTGCGTGTGCACATGTGTATTGGTACCCATGGAGGCCAGAAGAAGGTATTGGAAAAGGGTATGGAGTTGGAATTAAAGACAGTTGTAAGCTTCCAGACATGGGTGCTGGGAATTGAACTCTGGTCCTCTGGGAGAACAGCAACAACTAGTAACTGCTGAGCCATCTCTATAACCCCAAAGTCAGCCACCACTCTATTTTTTAAAAAGGATGTGTATGTGTGCATGTATGGGTGGATGTGTGTATGTATAAGCTGATGCCTGCAGAAGATAGAGGCTTGAATCCCCTGGAGCTGGAGTTGCAGGTCATTATTATCTATCTGACAGTCTGAGTGCTGGGAACCAAATTCAGGTCCTCTTCAGCATGCACTCTTAAACCTCTGAGCCATCTCTCCAGCATGAATAAATTTTTTCTTCTTTTTCTTTTTTTGTTCATATGGAACACTACACAAATCTGTCTGTCATCTTTATGCAGGGACCATACTAATTTTCTCTTTATTGCTTCAATTTTAGCATATGTACTGCCAAACTGAGTACATGAATAATCTTTTGAGTCCCATGCCAGTCTTGAAATCTCAAGATTGGGTGGGGGGGCTTTAAGAAAGGAAACACCAATGACAGAAAAATGACAACAGCAAAGAGTTGCTTGCCGTGCACTTCTGAAAGTCCCAAGATGATCCCTGCCAGTGTAACATTTAAACATATGAGTAAGCAGGGTGTGGTAGTGTGTTCTATGAGCCCAGCACTCAGGATACCAAGGCTGGCCTGTGCTGCATTGCAACACCTTCACTCAATGTACCAGTTCTGTATTCACTTACACATTTTAAGGCTCTCTCTTGTCTGCTTCACTGTATAAAAACAAAGCCCAGCAAATCTGGCTCTATCTCCTAAAGAAGGATATCCTTTCTCAACAGAGACAGCCAGTCCACCAAAGACACACATGAAACTACCACTCTCACTTTCTAATCAATAATACTAATACACCAGCTAAGCCAACAACAGTGAGACTGAAGAGGAAACAGGCAACTTTGTAATTCTAACCAAGAAATTGCTTTTAGAAAATGAGTGTTTTAAAGCAAAATTCAGAGCAAAGTGTCCATTGCAATAAAGATAGAAAATCCCTTCTGTTACCTCAGCATCCCATAGGCAAGTGTTGACCTAAGAGTTGTAGGTCCAAAATGTGTAATATTTCTTCGATGGAGACTCTCCTCTGTCAATGCAATGCCGACAATGACTTCATTATCATGGATGTTCAGGAGAACCTATGTCAAATTAGATGAAAGAAACAGTTGGCACTCTTTAAGACTTTTTTTTTTTGTTTTACGTAGGGCCTTAGCTGAGTGTGGTGCTGCCTCCCAAGTGCTTTAATCCCAGCACTCAGGAGGCAGAGGCAGGTGGATCTCTGTGAGTTCAAGGTCAACCTGGTCTACATAATGAGTTCCAGAATAGTCAGGACCAGATAAAGAGACTGTCTCAAACAAAATGAAACAAAACAAAAATTAAAAGAATAAAGTAAAACATGGTTCTGAGTCAAGATTGGCTTGAATTTCTTTTTTCTTTTCTTTTTTTTTTGGTTTTTTGAGATAGGGTTTCTCTGTGTAGCTTTTGGAGCCTGTCCTGGAACTCACTTTGTAGACCAGGCTGGCCTCGAACACACAGAGATTCACTTGCCTCTGCCTCACGAGTGCTGGGATTAAAGGCATGTGCCACCACTGCCCGGCCTGGCTTGAATTTCTTTTGTAGGTTAAGCTGGACTGAAACTCAAAACCCTCCTGCATCTGCCTCATAAATGCTGGGATCATAAGTATGTGATATATGTTTGCCTTAAGTCTTTTTGAAGTCTTAAGATAAAACAAAAACAATACAACTCTCTTACTCAGGGCTGGGGAGAGGACTCAGTGGAGAAGTACTCGCAATTATAAAGACCTGAGTTTGGATACTCAGCACCCACAGAAAAGCCAGGTATGGCTTGTACTCACATATCTACCAAGCACAAAAGCTTTCTTTTTAGAAAATTTTTTATTTTTTATTTTATGTGCATGAGGATTTTGCCTGAATGTGTATCTGTACACCACATGCACACTTGGTGTCCATGGAGACCAGAAAAGGGTGTCAGATCCTTGGAAGCTAGTTACAGACCATTGTGAGCACCTGCCATGTAGATGCTGGGAATTACACCTGTACCGTCTGGAAGAGCAGCTGGTTCTTTTAACCACTGAGCCATCTCTCCAGCCTCCCAAACTATGTGATTGAGTTATACTTTGCATGCTTACTATAAAGTGCATAAAATTCATTTATTTGTGTATTTATTTATTTATGTGTATATGCGGACAGGGTGTAGAAATCAGAGGACAACTTCCACCATGTGTCCTAGGAATTGAACTCAGGTCAGCAGCCTTGGTGGCAAGTCTGTCTACCCACTGAGCCATTTCATGAGCCCAGAGGTATGTAAATCTTAACTACATACATATTTCAGTGAGCTTTGACCTATATACAGTACCCTTTAGAAGGTTCCCTTTGTTTCCTTTTTGGACAACATGCAGGGTGATCATTAATCTGACCACTACTATTATAAATTAGTTGTATAATTTTTGAACTTTACAAAAATGAAATATATGTATTTTCCTGTATATATTATTTTCATTGAATTTTAAAATGTTTTCTTTTCACTCACTATATATACAAGCTGGCTATCACTAGATTATCTCCCAGATTTTATTATATTAACATATTTTGATGACATAGCTTTAAAATATGAGTGTATGAGTGTGTGTGTGTGTGTATTTTATTGTTTTTTATTTGTTTTTTTATTTTTTTATTTTATTTTTATTTTGCAATACAATTCAGTTCTACATATCAGCCACAGATTCCCCTGTTCTCCCCCCCTCCCGCCCCCCTATTTGTTTTTTTTAAGACAGGATTTAGATGGGCAGTGGTGGCATACACCTTTAATCACAGCACTCGGGAGGCAGAGGCAGGTAGATCTCTGAGTTCGAGGTCAGCCTGGTTTACAGAGCAAGTTCTAGGATAGCCAGTGTTACAAAGAGAAAGCTGTCTCAAAAAGCCAAAAAAACCAAAACAAAACAAAACAAAAAAAAACCAAAAAACAAAAAAAAAAAACACCAAAAAACCAGACAGGGTTTCACTATGCACAATACACTCTGGCTGGCCTAGAACTTACTACAGAGAAGACCAGGGCTAGCTTTCAAATAAGAGATCAGCCCATCTCTGCTTCCTGAGTCAAAGGCATGTACCACCACACTTGGACTACACATATTTTTTAAATGACTACATTTTGGGAAACCACTTCGAACATCCATAAGTGCAGCACGCCCACTTTCACAGCAGACTCTCCAAAGCTGACACTGTGTCACATCTGCTTTATCAACTATTGTTTTCTTAGTATTTTTATATAATGTCTGCTATGACTATCTTTGTCCTAGTGTTCCTAATTCAAAAATATTCTTCTTTTGTTGTTTGGTTTTTCCAGACAGGGTTTCTCTGTGTAGCTTTGGAGCCTGTCCTGGAACTCACTCTGTAGACCAGGCTGGCCTCAAACTCAGGGAGATCCACCTGCCTCTGCCTCCCGAATGCTGGGATTAAAGGCGTGTGCCGCCACCGCCCGGCTCAAAAATATTCTATGAAGATAAAATGTTCCCCAATCTTCCCCTTAGAATGTCCTCATCAGTTTTACCAAAGACAGCAGTCAAGAGCTGACACTCCAACATGCAAGGCCCTGTTCTACACATCTTACTCACGTGGCCTCATTTCCTATAAGCCCCTCTGAGCCTAGGACACAGAGACATCAGTTCATATGCCCTTCATACCAGTGCCTGAGTTACAATTTAACCCAGGCAGTGTGGCTCCATGATTTGTCCTCTGTGTCACCTTGCTAATTTCTAGACACGTCTGTTCTTTAGCCTATTCATGCTCATGGCAGCTGTGTAAGAGAATATGGCAGGAGGAATTGTACTAGTCTGACTTTTTTTTTTAAAAAGAAAAGTTACAAAGAAAGTGATGTGCCCCAGATTTAAGTACCCCAAAGCAACAGAAATCAACTTCTTGGTAATCATGTCAACTGCTAGGGACCTATATATGCCACCAGAAATTTAAGGAACCCCAATCACTATTATCCACATTAGTCACCCAGTAGTCACAAGGATTCTCAAGCTAACTAACAGGAGGCATTTGGTTTTGAGAACCTAGCTGACTTTTTTAGCGGAGTTGGTTCTAGAAGAGAATTAGCCCTAAAACCCAGACTTAAGGGTCTAAAAATTAGATTCCACTATGGTTTAGTTGCAGATAAAAGTTTGTTTTAGGTAAACTTACAATCTAGAAGTCCACATAATATAGAAAAATACTAGACTAGAAACTAGAAAACTGGGTAGATATAACTTAGAAGTAGAGTGCTTGTCTACTATGTGCAAGGACCTGGGTCTGAGTCCGGCACTGCAATTTTAAAAAAATGACTCTTCTGCTGGACATGTTGATGCCGAGTTCAGACAGAGAGAGAACACCTGAGGGTTTTTCAAGACAGGCTCTCAACATAGTCCTAGCTGTCCCAGAACTCACTATGTAGGCCAGGCTTGCCTTGAACTCACAAAAGATCCTCTGCTTCCTGAGTGCTAGGATTAAAGGCACATGCCCCCATTACTTGAGCTCTGATAGCATCTATCCATTGAGTACTTAGCATACACTAGTATACTATACCAAACACTTTAAACCATTATTTCATTTGCCTTCCATAGTATAGACCTTCAAGGTATATACTATTATTGGCTCCATTTGAAACAGAGGCTCAGCTGGGCGGTGGTGGCGCACGCCTTTAATCCCAGCACTCGGGAGGCAGAGGCAGAAGGATCTCTGTGAGTTCGAGGCCAGCCTGGTCTACAAAGCAAGGTCCAGGATAGCCAGGACTCCGTCTCAAAAATCCAAAAAAAAAAAATTCAATCTACACCTACCCATCTATCTCCACAGGCCATCCTCCTAGCTTCATGGCCACTGTTTTACTGTCCCTTTACTAGGCTAGTGTAGAAAGTCCACAAACATGAGAACCTTTCTTCCCTTTCGTGTGTCTTTCTACTGTTCTACTTTTTGAAATAGGGTCTTGCTGTTTCAGCTGGACTGCCCAACAAGCTCCAGGGTACTGCCTGTCTCTACTTATCAGTGCTAGGGTTAACATGCACACATCCGTTTCCGGCTTCTAGGTGGGTGCTAGGGATCTCAACTCAGGTTCTCAGGCATGCTCAGCAAGCACTTTACCCACTGAGCCTTTGTCCCAACCCCGTTACAGTCATCAGTAGAAGCTGATACCCACCTCTACATCAAAGTTGGTCATATCAGCCTTCCACTTAAAATACTCTTGAACAGAACCCCCAAAATCCCTCGCAGCCTCATTGGAGGTAAAGCAGTGTTTCTCTCCTGCTCTGTTGCAGGTGACTCTAAACTTCTGTACTTGTGGTTCAGTTTCTTCTCTTAAGCTTTCGCCAGTCTCATCTTTGCAAGATGCCAAGACATCGCCCACTAAGGTTGATATTTCTTCTTTGATGGCTGGATTTTCATAATAGTCCAAGATCTGCGGTTCTGAAGTGCTGCTGGTAAGCTTCTTAGCATCTTTCTCTTCTGCTTTGTCTCCCTGTCCACAGTTGGCCTTCTCTTTACCTGCACTCTGGTTTGCCTTTCTGTGCTTTGCTTTCCTCTTCTTGAAACTGGTGTTAATTTGCCAGACTTTTAAAGGGTTGGACCATGGGAGCTTTTCAGCCAATTCTTCAAAGTCCTTTAGAACTTCTTCCTGCAAAGGATGGAGAATGAAACCCTTTTATTTCTCACCACTTCAACTGAACAAAAAAATGCCCACTTTCTTTATAGACAGCTCTGGTCCTTAGGATGGAGGTGTGGGAGTTCAGAAGCAAAGGGTAAACCAAATAATGCCTGTAATTAAGGAAATCTCAGTGTGAATGAGAAGTGAGGGTATATAAACACTACACTACTAAAGAATAAGAGAAGGCAGATCAGATATATAGCACTGAGGAATGCCGTAAGGGGAAGCAGGGGGTGGACGGCAGCAGAGGAAGAAGACAACTAGTCTAGATGACTTCTTTCAGATCTTCTGAAACTGTAGAAGTTAAAAATGTTATTTGTCCAGATTTTAAATAGTATGATTATCCATTTGTTTTGTATTTTTGAGACAGGGTCTCTTCTCTGCAGCCCTGCCTGTCCTGGAATTGGCTCTTTGGCCGGGCTGCCCTAGAACTCAGATCCACCCGACTCTGCCTCCTAAGTGCTGGGATTAAAGGTATAGGCCACCACACCTGACTCATATGATTATGTTTTTTAAAAAGTAAATTTGGCGGTACCTGCCCTCTCAAGTTCTTCTCTTCCAGTTTGACTACAGTACTAAGCATGATCTATGGTTACTATGTTTACGTACTGTTTACTAGCAAGGACACTCCTGTATCTGCATGGTGGAAGGACCCAAACTACCTTGACCTTTGCTATAGGCCACACACCTACAACAGCAGAGGCATATAAAGGGTGGTTAATATACAGCTGCCAGGGTGGGTTTATTGGCACAGAGTTGTAATCCCAGCTACGAAGGAACCTGGGGCAAAGTTGCAAGTTCAGGTTTCCTGAGCTACAGAGTGGGTTAAAGGCCAGTCTAGATAACTTATTAACACCCTATCTCAAAATAAAAAGTAAGAGGGCCATGGATATAACTCAGTGGTACAGTGTACGGGGTCCTAAAGTCAACTGCTAGTACTGCAAGAGTAAACAACAAAGAAGCAGTTACTGGATGACATTTAAATGTGAAGTATAGAATGCTGCTATCCAACAGAGCAAGCACTATCCAAACAGAGCTATATAATCTATAGAAACCACCACAGTATGGATGTTTAAATGACTTAAAGCTCCAGAAGCCAGGTGTGGTGGTGCACGTCTTTAATCCCAGGCAGAGATAACTGGATCTCTGTGAGCTTGAGGCCAGCCTGGTTTATTAAATGAGTTCCAGGCCAGGTATGGATGCAATGAGACTCTGTTTTAAAACAAAAAACAAAACAAAACCTTTAGGAAATGAAATACTCAGTTTCTCAGTCACTTTAGCCATATTTTACACTCCAATCTAGCAATTAGCATGCTGTATCAATACACTTTTTTCAAATATTTGTCCACAGTTCATTGATAAGAGTTAAATGTGTTTTTCTTGATAAACTCCAAAGCCTCTGTTCCCATGAGGCCAGAAAGGAAGTAAAGATTAAAAAAATTCATTCAGGGGAATGAAAATTATACTTCAATAAAACAATAAAAAAGAAAAAAAGGAGGAAAAGACTTGTTTATCCCCAGTCAGTCCAGGGAGAGCTCTTCTTGGTCTAGAAAATCCTCAGGGTCTGGAAAACCACCAGGACCCTCTTATAAACAGCAGGCCCAAGAGAAACTGCCTTATTCACATATGAGTAAGTTCAAAACTTATCAACACAGCCGGGTAGTGGCGGTGCATGCCTTTATTCTCAGCACTTGGGAAGCAGAGGCAGGCGGATCTCTGTGAGTTCGAGGCCAGTCTAGTCTACAAAGTCAGTTCCAGGACTACACAGAGAAACCCTCTCTCAAAAAAAAGGAAGGTCCCTGAGGTTTTCTCACTAGCCAGCCTAGGTGACAGTGATTTCTAGGTTCATCAAGAGACCCTATCTCAAAGAAAAAAAAAGGTGGGCCAGGTGGTGGTGGCACGTGCCTTTAATCCCAGCACTCCTGAGGCAGAGGCAGGAGGATCTCTGTGAGTTCAAGGCCTGCCTAGTGTATAGAATGAGTTCTAGGACAGGCTCCAAAGCTACACAGAGAAACCCTGTCTGCAGAAAAAACAACAACATCGGCAACAACAAAAACAGAACCCAAAACAAACAAACAAACCAAACCAAACCAACAAACAAAAACCAAGGTAAAGGAGGCTGGAAAGTTGACCCAGTGGTTAAGATTACTTATTGTTCCTGTAGAGGACCCAAGTTTAGATCACCCACATGATAGTTTACATTATTCACAACTTCAGTTCTAGGGAATCCGGCCCCCTCTTTTGACCTCCATGCAACAGGCATATATACCTGGTGCACATACATACATGCAGACAAAACACCCATACACATAAAAAAAAAATCTAAAAATGAGAATAAGGTGGAGATATGAGTGCTCACCTATATATAAATACCAGTAAAGGCCACACTGAAACCAGTATTCATAGATTCCTGCTGAAAAACAGTAAAGGATGTGGAGAAAAGAAAAGCAAATAGCATGGCAATGAGCAAAAGAGTTCAAAAGAATTGAAGAGAAAATGATTTAAAAAAAAGGAAGATAATTAACATGTATTTATTTACCTAGGAGATTTGAAATTTTCAGCAATTGAAGATATTTTTCCAGAAAGTTTAAGTGAATTAACAATAAGAGATACTCAAAAGTCTTCAAAGAAAGCTGGGTTTTTCCTTGTTTTTTGATCATTACATATTTATCAAGATGAACTCAAGACTCTTCACAACATTTGTTGCTAGAAGAACTACCATGGTCTTTCTAGAAGGGAAGACTAGTTCTTTATACTCCAGCTAACAGAATATACAAGATAAACATCCCTCAACTCAGGCCATTAAAAAATAACAAGAAACAGCCAGGAATAGGGGCTCATGCTAACAATCCCAGGAGAATCTCTTCAAATGCAAGACTAGCCTGGGCTACAGAACAAAACCTCATCTTCAAAACCAAACAAGCCAACAGTGAAGGAGAAGTACACCTTTATCCACATTTGGCTTTAAGACTAAAATAAAAACAAGGTGTGAATTGTGACTATAAAACAGAAGCAAAGTTAGGTACACTCAGCACATAATAGGAAAGAGAAGTAATTTAAGAATGATGCAACCCTCATTGCTTATACTTACAGGTCAAAGGACAGAAGTACATGCTGATAAAGTATATTTACAGGTCCAACAGTAAGGAAGTGAAACAATAAAATCAGAATGGAGTGAAAATGGGGAAAACATGACAATTTCATCTGCAAACATAGCAGGGATATTAAAAAATAGATGAAAATAGTAGATTAGATAGATAGTGCTAAGTTGTATTTATAAAGCTAATAGCTAGGACACAAAAATAAACGTTCTAAACTATTTAAAAACATAGCAGAAAAGCCAGGTGTGGTAGCACACACCTTTAATCCAAGATTGCTGAGCAGATCTCTGAGTTCAAGGCCAGCCTGGTCTACAAGAGCAAGTTCCAGGATAGCCAGGTCTACACAGAGAAATTCTGTCTCAAAAAATCAAACAAACAAACAGAAACAGGACCTCTCACTGAACCTGGAGCTTATTGAGCTAGGTTGGCTGGCTGAAGAGCATGGGAATCCACCTGTCTCTCTTTCTTCGGAAGTGATGAGGTCACAGCTACTGACTGTCCTGCCTGGCTTTCGCTCAGGTGCTAGAGACTGAACCCGGGTCCCTGTGCTTGTGCAGTAGGTACCGTACCAATAGCGATCCCCTCGCCTTCAAGAACCTTTTCACAGTGATTTCCAAAGCAACTCTGAAAGGTTAGCTCATGTAAATTTGTACCACAACGACCAAATTCACCTCTATTTAGATATCAGAACTTCCTCAACTATACAAATCTTAAGATGACAAAATTCCAAGAATTTAATAAATTTAATAATGTCCTGGTAATTTAAAGGTAAGAGAATTTAAGACAGGAAAAAATTTTCTTAATACCCAGTAACATTTATTCATGCATAAAACTGACCTTCAAAATTCCCAAATACTTAGCAGCATAACTTTTCAAAAGATTGCCTCTTATTTTTTTAGGTATCATTCAGTTTGTAGTAACTATGAGAAGTCTCAAGAGTTAGGGCTGGGGAGTTCAGTGGGAGTGCTCACTTAAGGTGCAAAGGTCAAAGGATCAACCCCCAGGGCATCACTAAAGAAAAAAAGGAATCTGAAGGATTATAATGCTAGTGTTTCTAAACGTTGAAAGTTAGTTTTGTAGGTAGTAAAATTTTTAGTTATTTTCAGTGGATATTTTAGAGCTGTTTGAATTGTGTGTAGGCTTTAGGGTTTAGCTTTTTTAGGCTTTAGGTTTTAGCCTTTTTGTTGCTATTTAAATTTTTTACTAGAATCTAACAAGGAAAGTGCTTTATCACTTTCTCCCCCAGATCAGTTTCTCCCCCAGGTCAGTTTGATTGATTTGGGAATACTTTGGCTAGCCAAAATAATCTGGAAAACTAATAAAGACCAGAGAATTAGACAGCATACCACAGTTCTTTTAAGAAAGGTTACCTCTAAGTTAGACATTAACATAACATAGACAGAAAAAGTTTTAAGCACTTGATTCTGGAAACCTGGCCAGAAAGAGATGTAGGAAAAAACCTTAAAGTATTACTGAGGCCTATTTTCACCCTTCAGATTAAACAGCAGCTGAGTACTTAGGACTCAGATGATAAATACAGGCTGGAGACAAGCTGTTGTCTTAACAACTTAAGGGTAGTAAATGTTGCTTCGGCTTCACTTCAAAACATGAAGCTAAAACAGGACAAGAGCAAAATGGGGAGGGAATGCTATCTGTGATCTCTCCTTCACGTGCTAGAAGCAATTCCAGTTTCAAACTGAAATTTCAAAATATGTACTACAGGTCAAGCTAATCTAAGACTTGCCAGTCTATTATTTTCTACTGTAACTTCAGGGTTTGTTTGTTTTTTTAAACACTGACCTTTAAAAGCAGCTTTTGGGATGGACTGCAAGAGATCTCTGGATTTTAATGACAAAGCTTGTTGTGATCACATATTTCGGTACGTGCCAGGTTCTCACTTTATCTTAACATTGTAAACAAATAAACCAACAGCAGAGCTACTGACAGGCAGTAAACAGTAGAAGACAATCTCTTTGGGAAAGATGGCTGAGAATCAGCCACCACACTTAGAATAGCTCACCTTTGTATTTTTGAACTGATAATCTTTAAACTCCTGAACAACCACAAACAAGTTATCAACTGATCTCAGACAATGAACCTAGGGAGGAAAACAAACGTTAGAAACAAACTTCAGAAAATACTTTTGAATAACACAGCTAGCTACAGTTAAATATTTAAAAAAAGAAAAAGGTACAAAAATGTTTCATTTTTGTTTTGAGACAGGTCTTGCTATTGTGCTCTGGGCTGCCTCAAACTCACAACTTCCCTGACTCAGTTTTCCAGTACTGGGGTTACAGGCAGGTTTTAAAAGTACCCCATATCTGTACTTTTGTTGTTGTTGCTGTTTTGAGACAGTTTCTCTGTGTAGCCCTGACTGTCCTGGAACTCACTCTGTAGACCAGGCTGGCCTCGAACTCAGAGATCTGTCTGCCTCTACCTCCCAAGTGCTAGGACTAAAGGCGTGAGCCACCACCACCCAGCTCATATCTGTATTTTATATTTAAAAATTTCCCCATCCATTTCTTTGGTTAACCATCAGTTCTGCTTTTTCCAGGAGAAAGGGCCAGTGAGATGAAAGTTTGAAATGTCATGTTTGAAGAAGGGAAAAATGTAAACATAAAATTTTCCCATCCTAAATGTTCCATTCTTTGGTTACCCATCAGCTCCTGCTTTACTCCAGAGAAAGGGCAGTGAGATAAAAGTACAAGAGTTTGATGGACTGGAGAGATGGCTCAGCAGTTAAGAGCACTGACTGCTCTTCCACAGGTCCTGAGTTCAATTCCCAGCAACCACATGGTGGCTCACAACCATCTGTAATGAGATCTGGTGCCCTCTTCTGGCGTGCAGGCATCCATGCAGAAAGAACGCTGTATACATAATAAATAAATAAATCTTAAAAAACAAAGTATGGGCTGGAGAGATGGCTCAGAGGTTAAGAACACCGACTGCTCTTCCAGAGGTCCTGAGTTCAATTCCCAACATCCACATGGTGGATCACAACCATCTGTAATAAGATCTGGCACCCTCTCCTGTATACATAATAAATAAATAAATCTTTAAAAAAAAAGATTTGTTGTTCATTTAAACATGTATTTAGAACTGCACTCTGTCAGAACCCTCCCTTCTCTTTTTACTCCCCAGTTAACTGAGGGTTTTACTGATTTCTAGAGCAGTTCAAACCCTAAGGGCTCGAGTGCTTAGAAATCCCCTCTGGTGCTTGGTTGAACAAGGGACTCACAAGAAAACGAAAACGCAGAGACTGAACTTGGGGGTCGTTCTGTGCCTTCCAGCATCTTGTACAGCAAACCCTGACTTATCTTTTTACCCCTAAAATATCGTCTTCATTAGCAAATGAATCTGCCACTGTCAAAATACTTGCATTTGTTCCAAATAATCTTGTTTACTCTTAACTATTTATGCAAATTGTACAACACTTCTTATGCCCAAGCTTAAAAAATGATTTCCTAGTCGACAAGAGGCCACCACCCATCCTCTAGTTGTGTTGTTTACATGAGAAGATCACACAGAAGCCCTCCCTCTGCTCCAGTCCTGACAGGGCAGCCGTGAGCTGAGGGAGGTGGAGATGGCTCATGCAGGTACAAGACCTCAAGGACTCTTGCCTGCCTGTGACTGGAGACTGCTAAGCCCTGACACTCGGTGCTGAGGTTGTCTGCAGGGTTTTGCCCTTGTTTTACTGTGGGGGGCTGGGCTGCTGCCAGGTCTCCCCTTCTGAAGTGCAATGCAAAAGGGACGTCATGTACATGCAGCGTTTATCTGGAGTTTTTTCTTTGGCTTTTTTTCCTCTCAGTTATGAAACTTGTATGCATGGATTTCACATCTCCATAGCTAGACCCACCCATGGGCATTATGACCGTGTCTCCTAAAGGGTCAGTTTTGTTATGCAACATGAAGAATGCTGTTTAAAAAAAAAAAACAACAAAGTACAACAGTTTGAAATGTCATGTAGAAAACAATCCTGGTTTGGAGAAGGGAAAAACGTAAACATAAGTGGGGCTTTATTATACTTCTTTCATGGCTTGCAGTGGTTTGTTGTGTACTGCAGTGGCAAAGAGCATGGGATTTGAAAGCTGATGTACAGTGCTCGCCTGCAATCTCAGCATTCTGGAGGTAGAGCAAAGGGGAACAGGAGTTCAAAGTCATCTTCAGCTGTGTAGTGAAAGTCAGGCTAACCCTGACTATATCAGACTATTTCAACCTTTTTTCTCCCCAAAAAACCACATGGGGTTTAAGCTCTAATTCTGTGATGGCTGAGTTAATGAAGACAAACTACTACTTTACTTCTTAAGCCCCATGATTAATGACAAGAGTAATACTGCTCAATCATCACAAAACTGCTGAAGGCATCAACAAAATACTCGTTTACCAACACATACCACAAATATTATGTGGGTGCCTACTACAAGCCTGGGATACACTGGCAAGATAAAAACAAAATCTAAAAAATCTCCAGGTGATAATCTATGCCCTATGTCACTTGTATAGTTATAAGAAAGCTTGTAGCTTTTGTTAGAATGAGAGGTCAGTTTGCAGACCTCTACTTCTCACCTGCAGGAATGCAGAATTACTTTTGATTATGAATGTCTCTGACACAAATGAAATGGAAAACCTCTGCTTTTGTACTTACCCAAACTTCTGCTAAAGTAAATTTAAGTGTCACAGACAGTCATGTCCATTTCATTTTGGTGAATCAATCATCAGGAAATGCTATGATCACTTCTAAAGCATAGTAAACTAATGCTAAAATGTACTAAACTGAATGCACATTATAAAGACATTATAAACCTTTAACACTGTGCACTAAAAAATAGTCAGTTTCACAAATCAGGACACAACAGAAAACCCAGTGATACTTTTGAGCAGAACAAAGCAAAGGACTGCCAAGGTGTCTACAAACCAGAAAAGTAATCAAAAAGTAACCAAGTTGAAAGACTAATTTAAATACTCTTTTGTTCAAACCTGAGCCAGACTTTCCACTGGAATGTCAAAATATATCTTGCCCCGGTCTTTGCTGATTCTGCATGATGACTTCAGTTTCTCTCTGACTTCATCTGCAGCTGTTTGCTCAAAGCCGGTAGGTACAGTGGCTCCAATAGTGACCTGGAGCTGCTCAGTCTCACTTCGGATGCCACTTTCCATCACTGGCACAGACTTCTTGTTCTCTTGAAGGTTCAGATCCAGGAGTTGGCTGGTAACGTCTTGAGTGTCAGACATGATAGAAATGTTTCTGGAAGGCCTAACAGTCTCTTTAAAGGCAATGTAGAAAAGAAAGAGAAATAAACCCCAGTCTTTTCATATTTCAAATGTATGTATCAGAATTAAAACTGTCATATAAATAAGGGCAGGGATTGCAGGCAGTGAAACATGACTAAATAAGCAATATACAGGCACGTAAGAGAAAGGAAAACAAACCAGAGCGTTTCCACAGCATGCAGTGTTTGGTTTGGGGGTCATCTGTGTGGCAAGCACCATTTTACAACTATATTTGTTAACATAAAAACAGAAACTCCTCCCACCCTGTCCTTCTAACTAGCAATTCAGAGGGTTTGAATTCTTGCCTCCCACATTCTCAGGTCCAAATGACCCTAAAGCAAAATTAATCGTGCCTAGCCTCAAACTGGGAATTAAATAATATGTCTCAAATTTGGAAGATTTTAACGAGAACAACACAATTCTGGACTAATGATCAAAACTTTTTAGTGTGTGGGTAGGGTATCTATTTTCCTCTCTCTAGTCAAGTGGGCAGTGAGTTTAATAAAGATTAACTCAACTTGCACTATGTAAATGACAAAGCTCTGAAAGCTCAATACATGGTGACGCTGAGATCCAATGATGAGCATCCAGGGGAGATCTTGGAAAAATACCTGAAGTTAGGAAAACAAACTTCCTGTATGTGTGTTTGTGCAGGCTGAAGGGGCTGGAGAGGTGTTACCGTGATGGAGGATCCACACCTCCCATTATATTTTCAAAGGAGTTGTGACTTTGGCTAACACCTTCGCTGTCCCTGTGCTGTACCAAGGACAAGCCACAGAGGTGACTACGGTGACACCGTGTCACTGCTGGCCACTGGGAACAGAACTAACTCCACCTTCTACAGGCAGGTTGGAGAATTTGATAGGTGGCTCGGGCTAGGAGGGAAGTCTCCCATTCCCACCCGCGATGAAGCCGGGCGAGGGGCCAGATGCTCCATCCCGGCACCGACTGGCACAAAGCCAACGCTGCCCTCCCTCCATCCCGCCTACCCGGCCACTCCCACCCGGGCCAGTTACCGGCTGCAAGCAGACCCTTCCGGCCGCCACACCTGCGGAGAAGGCGCGCTCGGGGCACGCCGCCGGAAGCCGAGTTGCCGCCCCGGAAACGGAAGTCAGGCCTTGGGAGTCATGGTTCTCCCGCGCTCGGGGAGGGCGCGTGGTGAGACGAGGGTGCGCATAACGCTGTGCGCAGTTGGCTGCACTCTGAACCGGAACAGGAAGAGCTGCCGGCGGGTCACCTGCCCTGAGGTAACCTCCGCCGAGGGCGTAGCCAGAGCTAACGCTGAGTCAGCTCCTCAGTTGTGCCCCGGTATTTGTGTCAGGCGTCAAACACTTGGATGGTACTATGACTTAATTCCCGTTTTAAAGTCAGAGGAACTAGGTCTAAAGAGATTATCTCTCCCCATTCCCGTCTTGCATAGCAGTTTTTACTTGGAATTCGGTTCTGAGATGGAAGTCTCACTATGTAGCGGTGACTGGCCTGGAACTCGCAGAAATCCACGGTCTCTGCCTGTGCATCCGGCGTGCTGGGATTAAAGATGGGTGTCACCAGACCCGGTTTGGTTTCTGCAAGGGGCCAGCAAGCTGGGCTGTAACTAGAATATAGCCCACAGCCTGGTCTGTGGTTTTCATACTGCATTTTTATGTTGACTATTACTACACTATTGTGTGTTTCGTGTTTTTTCTTTATATTTCAAAGGCTACATTTCATAATTTAGTTACGTTTATTTTGTGTGTGTGTGGGGGGGGGGGGCGGGAGCATGTGCCAAATCTGAGGTCAGGACAACTTGCAGGAATTGGACCTCTCCTTCCACCACGTGGGTTCTAGTGATCCAACTGAAGTCATCAGGAATGGCAGCAGTCCTTTACCCTCTAAAACGTCTCAGTAGCCCCAAATGCAACATTTTAAAAAGGAAACTTACAACTCAACAAAAAGAGACAACTGAATTTTTAAAGTGATGGTTGTATAGAGAGGTTCTCAGTGATTAAGACCTGATTTTCCAGAGGATTCAAGTTTCGTTCCCAGCACCCACCCAAATCAGGCCACTCACAAATGCCTGTAACTTGAGTTCCAGGGGCTCTGACACTTGAGTCTGAGTACCAAGGGCACTGTGACACTGCATGAATGATGTGTACGTGCATTCTCCCTCTCTCTCTCCCTGCCCCCAACTCTATTTTTTTTTAATTAAAATTGTATTGTCTGCCAACCCTGAGGTCAGTTGTGCCAGTCTGGAGGAGCTCTCATCTGCCCTCCAAGAGCGGCCCCAAGGCCTCAGCTTCCTTGGCTTGTCAGGCTGCTGCATCCAGGGGCCCCTGAACTCCGACCTCTGGGACAAGACCTTCCTGCAGCTGTGGGAGCTGCAGTTGTGCAGCAGACACCTGAGCAGGAGGGACCGAGACGCCGCCGTGTGTCAGAGACGGCCGGCCGGCGTGTGCTCACTAGACCAAGATCCCAAGCTCTTCTTTTTTTTTTTAAAGATTTATTTATTTATTATGTATACAGCATGTATGACTGCAGGTCAGAAGAGGGCACCAGATCATTACAGGTGGTTGTGAGCCACCATGTGGTTGCTGGGAATTGAACTCAGGACCTCTGCAAGAGCAGTCAGTGCTCTTAACCTCTGAGCCATCTCTCCAGCCCCCCAAGCTCTTCTTTAAATGCCTCTGACCCTGGCCCTGTCGTTTCTGCCCGCCTCCCCCCCCCCAAAAAAAAAACCTTAAGAAAAAAAAAATTTTAGTGGCCGCAGCAGCAACAGACGTGGAGCCACACTATTCCTATCAACAGGGACAATGAATAAGGTAAAACCAGATCTTGGGCTTGGATGCAGCACAGATGTTGGAGACCAGCCAATATAAAGCAGTATTGTAGTTTATTTAAAAAACAGAGGTCTGATATAGATGGCTTAGCTGGTAAAGTGTGTCCTCCACCAAGCCTGACCATCTGGATTCCATCCCCAGAACCTACATGGTGGAAGAACAGACTCCCACAGGTTGCTCCCTGACCTCCACATCTGTGCCAGGAAAGCCCCAACCCCATAAATAAATGTTTAGGGAGAAAAAAAAAGAGCCAGGAGGTGGTGGTGCATGCCCTAATCCCAGCACTGGGGAGGGCATACTCATACTCTGAGAATGAGGCTTGCCTGGTCTACAGAGTGAGTTAGTTCCAGGACAGCCAGGGCTACACAGAGAAACCCTTTGTGGGGGTCGAGGGTAGATACTCCAGGAAAAAATAAAGCACATCTGAGAGTATGGGTGTGGGCTTCTCAAAAAAGGAACACACTTTATTAAATAAAGGCAGTTTTAGCATAGACTTTAAGCCTAGGAGTTAAGAGTAATTTAACCACTTAGTGGCTCTGAAGTTACATCTCAAATGAAAAAGAAAGCTTATCCCTTTTTATTTTTCATAAGTGAGATTATAAGATGCTTCAGAAGTGCCTTGGATGGGATTACAATCTGATAAAACCAGGAGCCACTAGTATTGTACAAGGAGTTAGGACATGCGCTTTACTGTAAGTGGAGTTTCTGATGAGAGTCCTAGAAAATTATACGTTTATAGATGGAAAGGAGAAAGGCCTCAAGCAGTTGCTAGTTGTTTTTGAATTTGTGATTCTCAGCTGTGAGAAAGAGGCTCCTTTTGCTTCTCAGGTCCCTGTAATTTCTCCTTTCCTACTTCACAAAGGACTTGCATCAGAGCTTTCTAAAAAGATATACAGATGACCAATAAGTTTGTGAAATGATGGTCAATATCAGTAATCATTAGAGAAATGTAAATTAACACTAACTTCATGATACCTCTTCAAATCGCAAGTTTGAAAAGCAAGAATCTTCTCTCGTGTTCTGGAAAGGATATGGAGCAATGAAATGTTGCTGCTGTCGATGCAAATGTTATAGCATTGTTAGGATTCAATTTAGCTTTTCTGAACAGGGTGTAACATATAATCACCACATTTCCCCTTCTACCAGTGTATTCTCAGAAGTGGAAACATGTTCAAACAAGAAGTTGTTCATAAATATGCATTGTATATAGGCCCAAAGTAGAAACAACCTGAATATCCATGAGATGATGGACAGATGTAATATAGATGCACAACAGGTTAGTATTTAGTCATAAAAAATACTATTCAATTTTTTTAAATTTTGTGGTATGTTATATTAAGCCCAGTGCTTTGCATGTGCTAAGTAAGCACTCTACTAGAAGCTACCTCTATAGTTGCTCATAAAAACTGCTGAAGTACAGATATATGCTACAGTATGTATGAACCTTCATAACATGTTAACTGAAAGAAGCCAGATGCAAAAGACCACATTTAGGTTGTGGGTGTAACTCAGTGATAGTGTCCTTTGTTTCCTAGCATGTAAGAGGCCATAGGTCCAATCCCCAGTAACATGGGTGTACACACACACACACACACACACACACACACACACACACACACACACACAAGAGAGAGAGAGAGAGACAGAGAGACAGAGACAGAGACAGACAGAGACAGACAGAGAGACAGAGACAGACAGAGAGACAGAGACAGAGAGATCACAGAAAACTACAGGTACAATTCCATTTATTTTAGTGTCTAGAAAACATAAATATATAGAGTCAGAAAGCAGATTAGTATTGCTTAGGGTTAGGAGGGAAATTGGAGGTGATAAGTAAAGGTTATTGGCTTTTCTGAGTATGAGCATGTTCTGCAATTAGGTAGTAATAATAAGTTATACACCATCATAAGTATACTAAGAGACACGGAATTATACATTTTAATAAAATAGCAAATTTTATGTGAAGTTTATCTGGATAGAGGACGCTTTGGATCTTATGGGAGATTCACGTACAGTTTCTTCATTTACAAACTTATACTTTCCTCCAAGAATTGTTGGGAGACTTAAATGAGATTAACACATTGTCAGCCATGTGATAAAATGGATGGTGTTCTTAATGATAATTGGAACAGAGGCTGGTGAGATGACTCAGCAGGTGGGGTTCCAGCCACCAAGCCTGGCAATCTCCATCCTCTGGACCCACATTGTCTGGGGAGAGCACCAACTTCAATAGGTGTCCTCTAACCTCCAGTACTGATGGAGCTATGGCTTGGGTACACACAGGTACACACACACAAATAGTAATGAAAATTAAGCATGAAAATAAGATAAAATTACTAAATTCTGGTCAGATAGTATTCTGTGTAAAAGGCTTGTATGTTGTTTGTTTTTTCTAAAAATGTATTCATTTGATTATTTATTATTACTTACCTTAGGACTGTAAAAGGCTTTCAGTTGGCTATGAATCTACAGTCCACTCTCCAGTTGTGAAAGATGAGGTAATAGAGACAACCGAGCACTAACAGAGACTTTCTTGACATAATGAAGGGTTAGAATACTGAAGAGATACTCTCTGGGTCTAATTTAGTGCCGTCTCATGTGTATCTTATGTGTGTCTTCATACTATCTAATAAGGTTCAGGGTTTGGGGCTGGAGAGATGGTTCAGTGGTGAAGAGCACTAGCTGCTCTTCTGGAGGATCCAGGTTCAATTTCCAGCTCACAACTGTCTGTATCTCCAGTTCCAGGGGATCTGGCATCCTCACACAGACATACATGTAGGCAAAGTACCAATGCATATAAAATAAGTAAATTTTTATTTTAAAGCTCTACCAGTTGTATGCTGGGTCTCTCAATGTAGGCAATAGAAAATATTGACCATTTGTTATATGTCAGACGTTCTTAATTTAGGCTCTGGGTATACAGCAGTGGAGGCATCAAGGGAGAGATCGTTAGGTGTCTGCATTTATATTCTAAAGAAAAATGATAGCATAGTAAACAGTATGCAGTAACATTCTTTGAGAATCAGTAATATGCTGAAAAACTAAGGAAAGTCAGGGTTGGGGCAGGTAGAGAGTGCAGGAGAGATAGGGAATAATTCAATCTTATGTCAACAGGACAAGAAAGGTTTCTTTGTAAGGTCACAGAGCAGAGCCTAAGGAAGAGAGCAGGCTGTTTAGCAATCTGAAAGAAGAGTATTCTAGAGCAGGTTCAAAATGTTCAAAAGGTCTAGAATTAGATAGGAGGCTCGTTCGGCAAGATGAAATAACCAATAGTTTACAAATTCTCACCATGCCTTACAGTTAAGAATACCGCTCCGGGGCTAGAAAGATGGCTCAGTGGTAAGGAACGCTTGTTGCTATTATGAAACCAAAGATCAGTTTCCAGCGCCAACATTGGATGGCTCACAGTCATCCACAGCTGCAGCTTCAAT